AAATTTTTGTTGATTTGTTTTTTGATTCAGTGATGTTTAATATCTCAAGGCATGAATATAGATTCCAAATAGTTTTTCATTTCAAAGTACTCTTTTGTACCACCAGTGCACAATACTAAAAATCGAACCACCTACGTTTAACTAAAAAAAATACTCAAATGACCACAAACCGGCCAACGGGCCGGATACAACACTAGTATTCAAATGTAACATTAATAGTGAAGAACCGAAAAAGGGTAACCCTAGCCCAACACTTATGTAACATCAATATTTAAATGTTCACGTTAGAATTCCAAAGATAAGCTTAGAAAAAGGGGAAACCGGAAAAGAAGCGCAAAAATCGAGTAATTAAATAACTAGCTCCTTAGTAGTCACCACCACTCCTTGTGATATACTCGGCGAAGAACAGGAAAGATTTCACTATTTGTATTATCATGGTTCGATTGAGATTGGTGATTTCCGTTGGATCTAGATCTAGACAATACTATGAGCTCCTAAAAATGGATTATTTTATCATTCTATATAAATTCATCGATTTGAATGATAATTTGATGTTTTGGACTCGATTGTGGACTTTTTGTATTTTTAGACTATGTTTTGGGAGGATCAGATGTGTGGTTTATGGTTGGTATATGTTGCGGGTTTGAATGTGTTTCTGTATGTTTTTGGTGTTTTGTATGAACGGTTTTTCTTGACAAAAGGTGAAGGGAAATATACCTCCAAGGTACTAGGGGTTACAACCCCAAACCGTAGAATTAGGTTTTGAATGTAGATGTGATTGTGTGTAGGGTTTGTGTATGGATTTGTTTGTTTCAAGTGATTATATGCTTCATTATGTTTAATTATGTTGCTCCTTATGGATAATTAAGGGTAGATGAATGAGCTTAGAGTTCCTTTTAGTCGACGAGGCAATCGTACCTACGCTAGAGGAACACCTTCCTGAGACAATGCTAGAGATGATGCAAGCTTCATCTATCATTGCTTTAGTGCGCATGATAGGTTGAACCTAATGAGAGGAACTAGTGGTCCTTCCTTAGTAAGTGAGCTTTGACTGAGGTGACAATGCTTCTCTGGGAGCATACTAGGAGGAGGGAAGTAATCATTGAAACCCTCAGTTGAGCGAGTTTTGCACCTTATCTTGCAAACTCAACATAGTTAATCACTTGCATGATGAACCTAAGATTAGGGTGAGGGAGTTACCCCGAGTACCTCTTATTCCTTATCAATCTCTAGGTCAGTAATCGTCAACTACCCATCTGTTACGTGACAGGTTGACTAGATAACAGCCGAGCCGAAATAGCTTATGATACCATGACTCTTGGGATACGATTGAGCCACTTTACCACATCCCTAGTTGGGTTATACTTGGCCTTGTGAGAATTGACATGAGTGCGCTTTGATTTATAAATTTAAAACTCCATCAAAGACTCACCATTATTAGTTCATGACTTTCATCGGTATGGATTAATCGACACAATTTACACCGCCACTATGAGACATTTGCAGAATTCCCAATCAAGGTGAAGGTAATTATCAAAAATCCTTTGCAAAAAGCAAGAGAAATATTCCTGAAATACACATCAGGCTACCAAATACTCGACAAAGAAGAACAAACCCTGAAGATTAAATAAATAATTAACATGAGAGTATAAGGGTGGCCGACTACCCTTAAAATCATGCAAATATATCTTTACTTTATGCCCTAGGTAGTTATCTATTTTATTGTATGTATTATGTGATGAAAGCAGTGACGAATTTTGCTACCCCGTTTACTATCAATAAGGGAGCCATATGTAGCTTCAATAAGAGTTGAATGGGATAGAATTTCTCACATTTTATCTCCCGCTCTAAATCTAAAGTTTCCATGCTTGAAATTTTGGTTTCTAGAGGCCATCAACCTTGGATCCTAGATCCTCGAAGGTAAACATCAAATATTAGCCAAACAACCAAGAAGCAAACAACATTGGAAATAAGAAAATATCGACAAACAAAGCAATCCAAGTATGTCCTCTGATACTAATAACGAAATCTTTGACTGTATCAATAAGATAGAAGAATAAGAAGATTATTTTTTAGATGGAATAATTGATGTTAAAAAATGAAAAGGAAAGACTAACTTCACCTTATTAGATAAACATAATTTTATCAAAAATCCTTTCTTATTCGGTAGAGAAATAGAATTAAATAGGGTAAAATTATAGGAAAAATAATCATTCCACTCAACCAAATCAATGGAAGTTTGTGAATGCAGATTATCTATAGGGAACAATTTTTTTTAAATATTCTAAAATGTTAAAGAAGAAGAATGAAGACATATTAGTTATATTCATATCAATACAATACAGATTATACTAAAAACAACCATGAAAATGGACATAAACGCTCCAAAAGATTTGGGGATAAGAGATTATAGACTAATAAATCTTGAAGAAAATATAATATTCAAAGGATCAGGAAACTTAAGATAAATTTGATTTTAACCTCCAACAATGACTAAGTCTATCAAACAAAAACCTAGATTTCACTATAGCTATAAAACACTAACTCAAACGAGAAATTTTCTTGAAAGAAAACAGTAAACCTTTCTCTATAACATATCAAATTAATTATGCTTTTAAAATACAGTCATCGTAGTTTAGGCTTCAAAGATAAGGAAGTAATAAGGCAAAATACACTTATATAGCTAAAACTTTCGTGTTGTGCCTATAATAGCCAAATTTGAAAAATACCACTTATAGCCAAATTTTTTAAACTTGTATGACAAATATAGCCATTTCCGTCAAATACTTTAATACCGTCTCTAACTCCGTTAGTTTAAGTGAACATTATGCTTATGTGGTTGCCACCTGGACGACACGTAATGTCCACCTAGACTCACATGTCAAATAATCGCCATGTCATTTTTAAATTAAAAAAATTAGAGTCAGAAGACTCACTAATCCAATCCAAAGAACTCCTAATATGATTCTGCAACCATCTTCCTCTTGTTAGAGAGTAGACACAGAGAAATGGCGATTGAATGGGGAGAATAAAGAGAGAGGAAGGACTGACAGGCTCACTCTGTCACTCACTCCCTCACCACAAAGAGGGAAAAGAGAGATTTTCTTAGGAAAGTGAAACCCAGTAGTTTAGCGAGAGAGAGAGAGAGAAGGAATAGCCCGCTTTTACAAAGAGGAAGGAGAGAACAAATGAATCAAATATTGTTCTCCAGGAATCAGCCTGATTCGGGTCTAATTGTACATGTTTTGCCCCTGTTTCCTTACTCGTTTGTGGCAATTTTTTCTCCTAAAGGGGTGGTTTACGCTAGGTTTCTCGTGTTTTAGTTTGTTTCAGGATTTAATAGGTTAAACCAGCCCCGGAGTCGAACGTTGGACGAAAAGGAGCGAAAACCGGGAGAAGAGGTGAAAAATAGTGAGTTCACTATTTTCCCTTGATGTTCACGGTCTTGTATGACCGTGAAGAAGAGTTGTTGGCCGTGAACATTGAGGCGTCCAGGGCCAAAATGCAAGTTATTGACGCTAATTGAGTTCACGTTCGCTAAGACCATGAACTAGAGCTATTGGCCGTGAACCCGTGGAAGCAAAGCGGTGCGTTTCGGCGCCCATATGGAGTTCACGGACGCGTTTCAGAGTTCACGACTGTGAGCTCAGACCGTGAACTGAGCTCGTTCACTGTTTAAAAGCTGAGCTGAAAGGAAGAGAGAGGGAGATCCCATTGTGTGAGAAAGCCTTCTTTAGATTTTTAGAGAGAGAAACACGAACCAAAGGAGAAGGAGGCTAGGGTTTTGCTCCAAGGTGGGATTTGGGAAGGTTCTCCCCAAGAGAAGTTCAACACAAGGGTATAGAAGATTGAAGCCTCCCTCAAGATGGTTTCTACCTCTTCTCCTTGTATTTCTCCCATTTCTAGCATGGAGTAGATTTCTTTTTCCTTGGGTGTTGTGAAACCCTAACTAGCTACCATGTACTTTCTTTTATGTGAATTGAATGATTGTCATTGGGTATTGTTTAATTCAATGATTGATGTATTATTCATGTGATTGTGCATGCTTGTGCTTAGCAATCTAAGGATTGTGCATGTTTTGTGCTTAGCATCCTTGGGTTTGTGCATGTTGGTGCTTAGCAACCTAACTTAGGTTTGTGCATGTTGGTGCTTAGCAATCTAATTAGACACTTTAACCTAGATTAGAGAGGAAAATCCCCCTTCCAAGGAAGACTCAATCGAGTTGGTTTTCCTTTATCTTTTCATGCCACCTAACTAGGTTAATTTAGGGCAAACCTCAATGTTGAATTAAGCAAATTGGTTAAGCGCGATTAAGCCGTCCAACCCTTGAGTTGAGTGAGGGAGTAAGTCAACCACCGATTGCCTAAACCGAGAGGGCCGAGTGACACGACCTATAATGTATACCTCGGTTTAGTAATCGAGAATGTGGTCTATGACCACATTTGCATCCCTCTGCGGTTCGCGGTTGCCTAGCCCATAACAATCGTTTCAATTCACATACCATGGTAGTAGTTAGGGGGAAGCGACAATCGAGTGATCTTTCTCACAAAGAGCTTTCAAAACCATTAACCTTTGCCTTATTTTATTTTAATTAGCAAACTTTTCAACCAAAACTTTGTTGCTAGATAATGATTCAAATGACTGAAGTAGGGGTAACGGACCGGACCGGGTTGATATTTAAACACACTTATCTTTTACTGCACCGGAGTAATGTTTATACTTGGGCCTTAGGCAGGAAATTATTGTGGTATTCTGGACGAGTCGCAACCACCCTTCTACCCCAAGTGAATCAAAAAGCTTTGTAGCACTCTGTTTTGAGGAAAACAGAGAAAAGGGTTCGGGAAGAAAAAAGGAGGAACAACAGAAAACCCCAAAAAAACCATCCCAATTCCAAAACCAAAAAATCCATAGTACATCTTCTTCTTCCCAGATTTCTCTATTGGAGCTGCTACTGGTGCACGACCCAAAAGGTAGAGCCCCGGGTTTTGGGAGCCGAATCTATGCCAGAAGAAGTCGTAGAAGTCGCTGCCCTCGGAGCTCCAAGCATCCCTGACGATTCCTCTTTTGGAGACAAGAATCTGCTGCTCTCGGAGTCCTATGCTTCGGCGTCGCCGTTGATATTGGAACCCTCCTTCCGTGGCGGATTCTTCCTCCTCCCCGTCGATCCCAACCAGCGAAGGCGGATTCTTCTCTCCTCATCTGCCGGCCGGTGGAGTTTGAGAGGCAGAGAGATGGGAACAGAGAGATATAGATGTGGGGAGAAATTTTTTTAGAGATTTTTAATTTTAGTTTTAATTTTCGTTTTTTGTAATTTTTATTTTTTAAGTTAAATCCACGTGGTAATGTTACAGACAAAATGTTGCCACGTCAGCATTTTTGTTAGTATAGTCAACTTGGTAGATGACACTATTAAATTATTGGACTAAAGTGGCTATAAGTGGTTTTTTTTCAAATTTGACTATTATTGGCAGAAACGCGAAAATTTTGACTATACAAGTGTATTTGACCAAGTAATAACCATAGAAAATCTTTCAAACCTATCATAAATTTAGAAACACCATTCAAACGGAAAAATTGAACCACACCATTCCAGTGTAACTCGAGATCTAAAAAAATAACACAAAAAATGAAACTAAAAAACTATGAGCACTCCAGTAATCCAGCAAAATCAAGAAGGAAGCAAAATAAAAGAGTTAAAACAATCAATAATAATTTTGGAAAAGAAAATATAACTTCAAGAAAAAATAAATTAAACTTGACTCTTAATTATTAATTGACTAGGTTTATATAATGTTTAGGTACAATAGATCTTACCTCACTTCAACCGTTTCTAATTGCACAAGAGAACTATCTAAGTTTGTAACATAAATTCAAAGTAAATATTCTATGCATGGGATTACAGGAACACTTATCAAAGCTATTTATAAAACAAAATTTATAACAGATACTAGTCAGTGGTTCGGCCTGTTGGCCGGTTTCATTCGTTAATCACGTAAATAACCGTAACAATTTGTATGCGCGATAAGCATTTAACCGTAGTAGGTGGTAATCTTTATTTTTCAAATTATCGAAGATTCAAATTTATTAATAGCGTAAAAGACTCAAAATTATTAAAATATTTCAACCATTCAGAACGATCAACATCATAGTGTTTTCTGTCATTGTAACTGATTTATCGACTAAAATTCTTTTACTAAGTAAACCCTATGTCAAATAACTAACTCCTAAATTATTTTTTTCCCAAAGAACCCATCTATGTACTCCTCATCATTATGTGTTATTGCCAACAACATCTGATGATGGAAATTTTGAAAAGTGAATGGTTTGGTTCTAATGCATCAATTTGAAGTAAATTTGAGTTGAGAATAGTAATTATTCAAGCCTGCAATAAGATTAAAACTCCAATATAAAAATACATTTGATAAGAATATTAACATTATAATAAACGAAGAAAATTGTAATACTAAAATTAAAAATGAACCTGAAAAGTCTCCAAAATGCATCACCTTAAGACAATTAGAACGATGATGGCAAGTTTGATGGATCTCGACAATTTATTTCTCATGAAATCAATGGATTACCAGTAAGAACGGTGACAATTTTTTCATACATATACTCTTGCCTTAAATATGAAAATGTAAAATGGAGAGTAATAGTTTTGTAAGATCAAGATTTGTCAAATAGTTAGAAAGATTATGCAATTAATAGTTGATCGATGTTCGTACCATGAGAAAACTTAATTTGTGCTTCAGATAAAGATGATACAGAATCAACCACACCTTCTAATGGTATAAAATGATTATCTATTTCCCTAAATCAAACGTGAAATGGACACACATTAAATTATAATATATATATATATATATATATGGCAAAGGCTAGCGTACGTTGTACGCCTGTGTTCACACTTGGTTTTTGCACTTCAATATATTTCATTGAATCAGAACCGTTGGTTATTATTTTTTAGATTAAATGAATCTCGTGGCTTGGGTTAGAGAATTAGGGACTGGGGTTTATCCATTAGAGGTTAGGGTATAGTATCATGCCCAAAATTTCGGTTAATTCCTGCTCTAAATAGTAAAACTCGATGGGCGTACAATGTACGACTGACGTATGCTAGCCTGAACCATATATATATATATATATATATGGAGTTCTACAGTACTCAGGGTGAAATCCGGGGTACCGCATACTTTGTGTAAGAAAACTCTAACCAGATTTTTAATTGACTGATCTTTCGGAAATGATACGATACTCTAACCCTTAAAGATCAAAATCTAGGTCTTAATTCTCTAAATCTTATACCCCAAGATCAATTTAATTAGAAACAATAATCGACGGTTATGATTCGTCCAAATATAAGCAAAAAAAAATCAATGCATCATCTTAGGGTTAATAGTTTATGATTTAGATAATTAGGACCTAGGCTTCACTCATTAAGAGTTAGGGTATAGTATCATGCCCAAAAATCCTGTTAATTTGAGGTCTAGATAGCGTTTTCATACTCAAGGTATGCGGTACCCTGGATTTCACCCGGGGTACCGTAGAAGGTCACTACTTCGGTGCACTCAATTTTCGGAGTGCATTCAATGCACACAACTCTAAAAGTGGTTATGATACATTAAATTTTGAATTTTAATTGGTAGCATAGTCTAATATGATGATTCTAATATGATGATATAACACAAAATCACAACTAATCATTCCATTAGCCTAACCCCTTAACCTTCAATTTTGAAACTCAACTCAAAATTCCAAATTGTAAACCCTAACCCTAAATGCCTAAATCCAAAATCCTTAAAATTAAAGTAAATCTTGAAAGATTTTTGTACAAATTTACGTGTTTTCTTTATATGATGCATTACCAATATCAAACACTACAACAATTGCAATAAGATTAAAAATCCAACACAAAGATACAATTGAAAAGAATGCTAACATTATTTTAAATGAAGAAATTGAAATACTGAAAATATAAATAAACCTGAAAAGTCTCCAAAATGCATCACCTGAAAATGGTTATAATGATTTTCGACAAGTTTGATGGATCTCGACAATCTAAATCTCATGAAATCAATGGATAACCAGTAAGAAACTAAGAATGGTGAATTTTTTTCATACATACGCTTTTGCCTTAAATATAAGAATGTAAAATGGAGAGTAATAATTTTGTAAGATCAAGATGTGTGAAATAGTTAAAGAGATTATAAGCAATTAATAGTTTATTGATGTTGTACCATGCAAAAACTTAATCATTCTGATGGTATAAAAATGGTTCTCTTTTTCCCCTAAATCAAGCGTGGAATAGACACACAATAAATTATAAAATGTATATAATAATGTTAATAAAATTATATGTACCATGTGGCATGAACACACGTTAAATTATGTAAATATATATAATAATGTTAATAAAATTATATGTACTTACATTCAAATTTTTATTAGTACAATTTGATTGTTTGGATGGGTTTCTCCACGGGAAATACTTCCTCAAGGCATTGAACTCCAAAAAATAATTGCTTAGTAAAAGTATGAAAACAATATATATCAATTCTCATACCAGTATAATGAATAAACTAATCGTCACTATAATCTTTTGTAGTACCAAGACAATTGAAATTGGGTGGCGAGTAGAGAAAAGAGCATACACTAATTGTTAAGCTAATAAATTATCAAAATATGAAATAAGTAAGCAAATAAGAGAAACCTGTTATGTGATTTGAATTGGATTATGAGGCGACCACTCGAAGTCAACGGGTATCATGGAGAATATAATAAATATTTTTCATACCACTCTATAATTAGTATCTCGAAATATAGTGAAATTGGCTCTTTCATTCCGGCAGACTAATGCTAGTGAAGCGATGCAGAGAATTCCAACTGACAGGTAAATTGTTTGCGCTTCGCTTTTTCACTTCATACATATGGTCGAATTTATGATGAAATTGACAGCAGAGACTTCTGCTGCCATGAGAACAAACTCCATCCAAAATTTTTTGCTTTTTGAGTAACTTTAGGAGAAATATTTTTATCGACAATTTATTAATAACTAACTAATTATCATGAATAATTAAAAAAAACTCAATTACCTACTTTTTCTATTCATCCAAAAGACTTTGTAAAGAAAGCTTCCTCATTATTTTTTTTCGTTATATAATTTGGAATAATTAATAACGATTCTAGTAAAATATTTCGGCAGCCTTGCTGAAAATAAGTAGGGTTTCCTACTTTCCTTAGAATATATATGTAAGGAAATAAAGTATTGTCTTTATTTAATTGGTTTGATTGAGTTTAGCAAAAGGACCGAATGATCCTTCCTTATTGTGCGCACAACGCAGGAAACATAGAAATGACGCCCATACGTAGAGAATTAGGGGCATTAAATATAACAAACATAGAATATATACGATATCAAATTAGTGAATTAAAAGGAGAATTATCTTGTGAAATTAGACATTATCAAAATGATATACAAGAAATAAACATTAACCACACTAAGTAACTATATTGAGGTAGAATTCATAGAATATTTCTACTTCAAGGAATAATGCATTAATAGATCAAATAATGGAATAGAAAATACATATAACTTAAATAAAATTTTGAAAATACATTTAGTTATATTTGGTATCAAATATGGTATCAAAGTCTACCTCATGAGTAATACATTGAAACAAATCTTATTTATTACTAACCATTGGATGAAAGCTAGAAAGAACGGACATGATTAACTTTTATTAAATGACTAGGTGGAGGCGGTAGTCACTAAATCCCAGGGCCGTCCCATTATATTCGGAGGCCCTGTTCGAAAATTTAAATGTGGCCCCAAATTTTTTCTCACAAATTTATTAAAAATAAAAATTATTAGATAATAATAAAAATTACATATCTTCAAAAAATTATTACAAATTAATAATATTATATATTATCAAATATTATCTACGCTTAGAACTACCTTTTTCAAATTTTTGGATTGATATAATTATAAATTATTACCAAAGATTAATGATTCCAAATTTTCATATAAGTTCTTTGCAAAAGAAAAGGATAAATATTAGAACTTAAAACAAGTTGATTAAGAGTCTGGATAGTAGGGATGAGAACTTAATCAGAATTGGGTGTGAACAATTCATATTTAAACTTTGGATGATTTTGGGAAGTTGACAAATTTTGGGGAAAGAGAAGAATAGAGGCGTTAAAAACTCTAATTGTTATTTAAAATTCAACAAATCAATGTAGTTTAGTGGTTAAAATTCAACTCTAATTGTTATTTAAAAACTCTAATTGTTATTTAAGCTTTTAATTAGAAGGAGGTCGATGGTTCGATTTTCGTCCCTGCATCCTTGTACATGGAGTTTTTGTGTAGGCCTTGCCAGCCCAAGGGGGCCTCCATGAGCTTCGCTAACCCAAGTTGGCCTCAATTCCCCTAGTCCTTGCCAGCCCAAGGGGGCCTCCATGAGCTTCGCTAGCCCAAGTGGGCCTCAATTCCCCTAGTCCTTGCCAGCCCAAGGGGGCCTCCAGCCTCTTATGGATTATGTGGACTTCGCTCTAGCCCAAGCAGGCCTCCAAAACATATGGATTATGGATAATGGGCCCCCAAAACTTGAGGCCCTGTGCTGTGGGTCTGACTAGCACAGGGCCTGGGCCGGGCCTGCTAAATCCTCTCCCCATTCCGCCTCAAGATAGGGTGGGTTATGCACCCATCAATAACTAAATATGAACCATTTATTTAGAAAATCTAGATCTAAAGATAGAGAATTAAAAGTCCTTTTTATTATTTCTCGTTTTCTTAATCGACTTATATCTTCTTTGTTTTAACTCGGATTTTAATTTTTTTTTTTCCACAAATGGAACGAGTTCGTTATGCTCTACAAAATGAGGTCCATTTCAATTTTTTTTAGAAAAAAATTTATTGCCTCTCGATACCAACTGCATACCATATGGTATTTTCTTCGTTTTTAATTCGTTTTTAAAAACGTCTGCATAGAAGGAACGAGTTCATCATGATCTAGTGGATCTACAAATTTCTGGGTGAACAAATTACTGGACCAAAAAATACCACACAATACCACCCTGGTACGGGGTGGTATCTTGTGGTACACAATGTTAAAAGTCGTAAATGACATTTAATATACTTCTACTATCATGTATTCAATCATCATACAGTCTTGGTTTGTTCATACCACCATGGTACGCTTTTCAAACTATAGGTATGCTCTTATTTCAATACCAGTCAATACCATATGGTATAGACTGGTAAAAATTGGCTCAATTTTTTTTTGTTCGGAAAATATAGCAAAGTGTATATCATTTGGAAGAGCACAATTAATCTGATCTAATTGTGCAAAAAAAATTAAATTTCGACTTAAAACGAGTGAGAAATCGACCGCCAAAGATCAAAGAATGAAAAATTAAAGGCTTTTCAAAAGAGAAATGTTAATATCATGCTAATATGGACGAATTACTCATGATTACTCACCATAAGATTAGTGACATAATCCGTTCCCCTCATTCCCAGATATAAACATCCGTGGGTGGCGTCATATAGAATTGATAGTTCCACATTTATTTTATTATTATTATCTCAAGTCAAATCGGACAAAAAAAAAAACAAGCATACAACGACTTGTGAAAAAACTATAGCGGCAACCGTTAAGAAAATTGATGCCACAAGCCGCCAACGATAATATTGTAATGACGCGCAAGATCCTTGGGATTTGGTCGGTATTGTAACCTTTCTTTTTTGCCAATTTGCTAATGGTCGGCATTGATTAATAGCACAAGTACAACATAGTTTCTTTCGGTTAGAAAGAAACAAAAAATCATTTAGGAAGAAAAAAAAAAGAAACAAGAACTTGGATGGGGTGGGCAAAGTAAAACATAGAATAGAAGAGCCACTTAACTTGAATCAGCGCCGTAGCGCAGCTGGAGTATTGCCTTTGTCTCAGCCTAAACTCATATGCACTTTTATTCTTCTTTACTTATCACGCTCATTAAAATTTTGAATCTAGGTTCAGGATCCGGGTTCCCTGCTTTTTTACAAGTTCTCGATCGAGTACATAGAGGACATTGTTAATTTGTTGGGTCGATATCACAAAGCAGAAAATACTCATTTTTATTGTTTGCGAGTTTGGATATCGATTATGAAATTTTGAAGTTTAATTGATCCTAACTCACATTGCCAGTGACAGTTGATATGAATCTACTTTGTCCTTGGCGGAGAAGTTGAATGTTTTTGGTATGTCAAATATATATGAAGGATTTAATAATACAAAGAATAGGGATTTCCACTTAGCACCTAGGGGTGGGCATGTGGGTAGTTAATCCGCGAATTGATATAGATCCACTAGCAAATAACCTGACCCGCACACAGTGGGTGATTGATGTGGGTGAATTGCGAATTGTTAAATCTCCCACCCGCACTTATGTGGGTGGATGGTGGGTGGATTGCGGGTCAACCGTATGACCCGTGTCCTGTTTTTACAGTCTGACCTTATACTTCAAAATGTGGATAATAAAGAATAGTATTGACTACTATTATTGGTTATTGTGTTGCGCAATATCCATTGGATATTGGTATGAAAATTGTTGGTAATATTCATTAAATATTGGGATACAAACTATAAATTATTAATTGTATCAAAATCACAAATTATTGATACAATCTTACTAATTTGCTATGAATTTATTATAAATGTTGGTCAATTTTCTTAATGGCTAGTTGGAGAATTGCTTTTGCGGGTTAATCCGCGACCCAACCGCACCCATCCGTCACCCAGCCAACCCAAACCACATAAGTATGTGGATGGATTGCGGGTCACATGCATTTCAATCCGCTAGTACGTAAGCGGGTGAGTCAATTTTAGACCAAAATCCACCCAACCGGCCCATTGCCCGCCCCTGTTAGCACCTATGCATTTCTAGAAGTAATTAAGTATTTCAAAATATCACATTTAGGGAAATTACTACAATAGCTTTAAGTTATTGCTTGATGTTTTAACTTGCTATAACAGGTTTCACAAGTTGCATTACGTAAAATACGATAGAAATTACGAAAAGGTTACGTAACATGTGTTATCTTACGTAATAGTTGAAAAATGTCATTACAGAAATCTTATGTAATAGACACTCATTTTATGTAATGAATATTAATCAAGTTACGTAATGTGGTAAGTCATCACGGAAGTCTTACGTAACACTTCAAATTTAACTGTTACGTAAGAAATAACGTTCATTACGTAACCTTTACGTAATGAGCGTGTATATTATGTATCAATTATAAAATGTCATTACGGAAGCATTATGTAATAGACGATGCTTTTATGTAATGAATATGTACCTAGCGCTACGTAAAATGATAAGTCGTTACGAAAACCTTTCATAACGCTTCTAGTTTAACTGTTACGTAAAACTAACAAGCATTACGTAATTGTTACGTAATAAATATTAGATTTACATAATACGACCTGTACAACATGTTATAGCAGGTCAAAAAATTCAAGTTATAATAACTTCAAACTTCAAAGTATGATAGGAGATCCCCACATTTAGTAGATCAGTTTAATAATAATAATAATAATAATAATAATAAACATCATAGTTAAGAAACAGATCTAAAGAACTGGATGGCAGGGAGTCATCTCATCTCATTCTCATTTCTCATCGCTTGTTGACATTGCTTTCCTTTCCTTTCCGTCTTTCTTTTTGTTTCTCTATTTTATTTATTTATTAAAATGAGGTGAGGGCCGCCAGGGAGTTGCGATCTTAACTTAATTACACAACAAAAGAAAACGAGTAGAGTAGGGGGGAAAGGAAAACATAATTAATGTTGGGGAGGCACCGGCCCCTGCAACCGCCCGCACATTATTATTATTATTATTATTATTATTATTATTATTATTATTATTATTATTATTATTATTATTATTAAATGGGGTTGCAACATATTATAATAATATCCCACACTTCACTCATTCCATCCAATCTGCATTTGTATTGTATGTTCTACGACCCGCCATTTAGGCAAAACAATAACAATATTAGTATTAATACAAAACTCCTTACAACGATGAGGTACGTAATTCTCGTGCTTACAGTAAATCGTCTATAAAATTTGCATCACGCAAGTCAATTGTAGTGGTCAAAATTTGAACTTCATTAAACACTGTGAACCCCCAGATTAACTTCCAGCAGCGGATGAAATTCGGTTGCTAGCGGAGCGATAAGAACGAAACAATTGCTCTGTGATATATAGATTTTATTGGCATTGACAAGCTCAAGAGCACACCGGGTCTGCACTGTAAGTAGTTTATAAATTAAACAAGCAGACCTGTAAAATTTGAATTTGCTAGTGTGCGTTTAGATGAAGTATTCTATGCATTACCAATCAGTTGAGTCACAGATTCAACTGAAGAGGATGAAGAAAAATAGTCACATAGTATAACCAATCAGTTTATTACAAAATGAGGTCGCTTAGCTAGAGGCCTAGAGCAGTTGTTGATAGTTTTTTTTTTTTGTTAACAAAAGGGGAGGGAAAGTCAAGAGCATACTAAGGGGTCGTTTGGAAGTTGCGATTGTTAAATAAATGTATTGTTGAGAATGCATGTATGATATTATACATGTATTGTCGAATTTGATGCATTGTAGAATACAACGTTTGGTATGCGTGATTGTGTATGTCGCATCAGCTAAAAGCGGAGACAAAACAATCTCAACTCAACTATCTCAACAATCACAACTAAAAGTTGAGATATAACAATCACTCAAAATGAGTGATAGTTTCTGTCACATCACAGAAACAATCCATATTGTTTCTGCTAAAAAAACAAAAAAACGATACATTATAAACAATACATGCATAATAACAATCTCAACAAAACAATCGCAACTTTCAAACGAAACCTAAATGTAAACAATGTTAATGTATGTAGTGCCCACAAGTCAAGGAACTGTGAGAGTTTGATTGTAAGCTTCGTCGGGTATTAGTTTATTTCAAGAGGAAAAAGGAATTGAATAATAAAACAGAGGAATTTATGATTGCATATGATGAGTTGACTCTTTACCTAGCAAGCAAGGCATTCCCCCCTTTCCCTTTCGTGTATATATAGCCAAACCAATAGTAGAGGTTCAAATATCAGAAATCATAATTAAAGTTAATCTCCATATATACCCACTTCCAGAAAGAAGAAAGCTATCTATCTCCACTAGCTGCGTGTGCCCTTTTTCAGAGACAGAGAGCGAGGGGGAAAAAGAAACAGAGAAACAGAGAAGGGAAGGGAAGGGAAAAGATGATCCCGGTAATGTACGGGGAGTCTCAACTGTGCGCGGCCACGGTGGTGTTGTACTGCAGTTGCATTCTGCTTCCGCTGCGCCAATTGAAGCAGAGGGTTGTGGGCATGGTGGTGAGGCTCCTGTTCGGTTCCGATTGCTGGTACGGAAACGGGCCATTGGTGATCGACAGCTGGGTGGCGGCCTGCAGCAGGATGAATGTGAGGCGGCTGCTGGCGGCGGAGGCTGCACCTTATAAGGAGGAGGAGGAGGCAATTAGCTGCTCCATCTGCTTGGGAGAGCTGAGGAAGGGAAGGGCGTGTCAGCTGAGAAGGTGCAATCACGCTTTTCATGTCAAGTGCATAGAGAGATGGGTGGAGCGGGCACACTACACTTGCCCTCTTTGCCGCACCTCCATCTTTGCTTCCCTCACCTGACCTCCTTCCTTAATTAGCCCGCTCTTTTTTGAAGCAGATGGCAGCAAAGATATGTTATAGAACTGGGAATAAATATTAAGGTTATAGTCACAATAGCAATTAGTGTGCTTATTAATTGTAAAATGATCTTTTCTTGAGCTGCCCATATGTGAAATGACCCAAACCTTTATAGGTCACTTGAAATGTGGTCCTAAACGCATAGAAATCACTTGTTTCCCAATTTGATGTCCTGGGTGAAGACATCATGAATAGTGCTAAAACTTTGATCGAGGTTTCCGGTAGCCCAAGGGGTCGAAACATCAAGTTTCTTGGGACTAGATTGAGTCTTTTGATTATGCAATCGATTGTTGTTAGTGAAGGTTGGAACGATTCGGCCTCCAAGGTGACGTCTGATAGGGCAAAAGCGTAATGCTTCAATTCCTATCTTGTAGTAAAATTGGGAAGTCCGGGTATCGTCTCCTAGGGACTGGTACAACCTTAAATTATATCAATTCTATGGAGCAAACTATAGGTGAAAAGAATTTAAAACTATAGGTGAAAAGAATTTAAAGTGACTAATTTCTAAAAGCAAAATAAACTAAACAAATTAAGCAAACGAAAACTATCGGGAGAAATTCAATGGAGAAAGCTCTAGGAGAAACACCGGAATTCACTATCTATCATATCCAAATCAATTCACTTTTCTGATAAATTTAAGGGTTAATACCTTATTTTGGCCCGAACTATGACCATATAATCAACTTTGGCCCGTGGTTTCAGAAATTAACATCCTGGCCTCAACTATGCAGCATATAGACTCAATTGGCCTGACACATAGTTTGACTGTCAATTTGGACGGTCAACTAAGTTGACCGTTAGTCAACACGCCATGTCATTGCCTAGTCAGCCTAAAAATCATTAAAAAAATTATTTATTATTAAATTAACCAAAAATAAATTATAAAAAACATAAAATAAATTTATTTTTTAGATAATTTGAAAATGATAAATTTTATAAATTAACAAAAAATTATCAAATTATTTTATATTTTTAAAACTTCTAAAAAATATGATTGTGTGTTTTATTTTCGTCATGAACTAAACCTCAATTTCTGGGGAAAACACCATAGGATGTAGCTATTTCTATATTTGATTGATTGATTCATATTTCTTTTCTTTCAATCTCTATTGCATGAAATCGCTTAATGCTTTCTGTTGACTGGCCACCAATACATTGATTTGTAGTTAATTAGGTTATTAGCGACAGTGAAACCCTAACGAATGAACATATTTCATGTGACGTAGTAACTTATCGAAGCGACAGTGGATTAAATAATGTACTATGTGGTCTTGATTGGGATCTCGGTCTTTAGGCTATATAATTAATTCATTGAGCTACGGCAGTATGATTTGAATTGATTGTTTAGTACGTAGTAATTCCCGATAGGGATAGCTAGCACAGTAGTGATATCCTGGCTGTAGAGATATGGATTAAATTTAGGGTTAATACCTTATTTTGGCCCGAACTATGACCATATAATCAACTTTGGCCCGTGGTTTCAGAAATTAACATCCTGGCCTCAACTATGCAGCATATAGACTCAATTGGGCTGACACATAGTTTGACTATCAATTTGGACGGTCAACTCAGTTGACCGTTAGTCAACACGCCATGTCATTGCCTAGTCAGCCTAAAAATCATTAAAAAAATTATTTATTATTAAACTAACCACAAATAAATTATAAAAAACATAAAATGAATTTATTTTTTAGATAATTTGAAAATGATAAATTTTATAAATTAACAAAAAATTATCAAATTATTTTATATTTTTAAAACTTCAAAAAACTATAATTTATATCATAATTTTTAAATTTATAAAATTTAATTTGATAATTTTGGTTAATTTATAAAATTTATCATTTTCAAATATCCCAAAAGAATTATTTTATATTTTTAGAATTTTATTTTTTGGTTAATTGGAAAATGATAAATAATAGAAATGAGGAAAATAATTTGAATTTGAATTTTTTTAATGATTTTTATGCTGACTAGGCAATGACATGTCATGTTGACTAACGGTCAACGGAGTTGACCGTCCAAATTGACGGCCAAATTATGTGTCGGGCCAATTGAGTATATATGCTGCATAGTTGAGGCCATGATGTTAATTTCTGAAACCACGGGCCAAAGTTGATTATATGGTCATAGTTCGGGCCAAAATAAGGTATTAACCCAAAAGAAAATACTGATTTTAAATTGTGCATGGCGATCAGTTGTTCTCGTGCCTAGCTCGTCCCGTAAGAATTTTAGACTCGCCTGTCGCTAGGCTGCTCTCGGCGCTGCTGCTGTTGTCTTCCCCAAAGAATTCGTTCCGTCCAATATAATTCTCCCCCCAGTCCGCGCTGCTCTCCAATTCTCTAATTATTTCCTCCCAAAAATAATTCTCCCCTGCCAATTACGTGTCCCAATTCTCCTCTCCAATAGCTGCTCTACCCCTCTCCTTTTGCTTCCGTCCAAGTAATTCCCCCGGTCCAAATAATTGCTCTCTCCTCTATTCCGTGTGTCCTCAGCCCGTAAAGTCACCAAAGCTTTCCCATAAGCCAATTAATTAAGCTTTGTTATCAAAGAATCCATGATACCCATCCGGTCCACCTTAATTATCCCATCCAGCAATGTCAATTTCTCATTTCATTTACCTGAAACATTTAAAATATTTGCACTCGGCGGTAATGGTTTATAGCCATTCCAAGGTTAGTTGGTCTTAAACAAGTATTATATATCTCAAACATATCATAAGATAATTGCATTCACCACACAAAATCAATATGTTTTCAACAATTATCACAACCCCACACTCCATACTTGCTTGTCCCTAAGCAACGACTCAGACGAGAGAACGATAATTGGAGGAAACACTACACAAAACAGGGAGACACAACCTAGCTCAAGACATAAGACGCACGACACACAGAACACATAACACAACATCGACACAAGAAATTTACCCTTGTACTCTTGTGACGAATGAGTTGTGCTTTATTGATCACACCCTTTCACCCCACACTCAAGGTCTTTGCAACCATTAACCATTGACTGACTCAAATCCATCAAAAAACTCAATTAGCAAACACTCAAATTAGGTCGTCGGTAATGGGTTATTAACAACTTATGGTGCAACAATTAATAGGAGCATCTAACCACATCAGTGAGGTGCATATCTCGTGAGGACAATCTGGCTTACTCACACCAATCATAAGCAATTAACTAAGCATGAGTCTCAAAAACAAATTGGGGAAGCCTTTCGAAAACATGATTTTAACTTTAAGCACATCACTACCTTTTCTGACAAGGAGAGGCTTTCTGTCTTTCTGATTTTGCTTGCCGATTGGTCGTATTTAGTACAATTGCGATTTGTTTCTTACTACCGGCGACCGAGCAAGAGCAATTTCTGCTTCTTAGCACTCGCTAAGGGCTTCTTTCAACTCCTTTTCCTTGGTCCGTGTGGAGGGTCGCTGCACATCCTCAAACGGCAATTCACTCAACGGGGAATCGTACTTGATAAGCAACATCGTACGGTCGTGAACCGATGCTCAGTTGAACCTGTCCTAATCCCCCTGTGCAATGAGTGATTGCCTCACACGATTTTGGCATTTTTACCTACACTTTAATTGTTATGGCAACTTTCTTATATTTTACTTGTCAGGTAGGATTTTCTCACTTATAAAGATACAGTTCACCCCATTATAAAACCTTTTAAAACAGAGAGACTCAATGCAAAGTCAAAAGCTCACAACAGATGCAAGTAAGCACGGTATCCAAACATGTTGAATGGTCAATGCTCTCCACCTAACCACTTCACCAAAAGTCATTACACTATCCTCACAAAATAGAGTGTTGCTAAAAGAGTTTGCTCATTCAAAGCATATCCAGTCAGTCAAACTATCAAGCTCATTGTGAAGAACTATGCAATTCAACACTAGTGGGGTGATTTCGATGATTTCATTCAAGCACAAACTCATTTCACACTCATCACACTCATTTACATCATGTTACCACAAGAGTACAAGGTTTGTTTTTTATTTTTCTAATTTTTAGGTGTTTTTTAGCCATTAGGTTAGCACAGGCAGACTGCATGCAGCTCGACTGTGCATAGCCAAATGAATGTTTTTTTTTTTGTTTTTTTTTTTCACACGCAATAGGGACAAACAAACACGAAGACTCACCACCCCACACTAAGGATGGAACATTGTCCCTATTGTTCAACTCCTAATCTAAACATGCACGGGTTTGACACAACAAAAAAGAAAACTTACCTTGGGTTGCCTCCCAAGAAGCGCTTGTTTAACGTCCTCAGCCTGACGTTCATGGAGCTTTCAACCAATGGGTATGGAAAGGTATCCAGAATACCCTCCCGAGCAATGATAGAATGCATAACCTCCATCCAACATATGAGTCACCTCAGCAGGGCCAGGTGTGCGAAAATTGGGTATGACCTTCTTAGCTGGCATGTTGGATCCTTTAGTGAGGCGTAGGTGGTATTGCAGCGCTTCAAGCAAGTACTCTTCCTGTTTCAATGTCAGTGAAGAAGGAATAATAACAGGAACCCAAAATATCTATACTTGAGATGACCTGGCAAGGATTTCTGTCTTTGCTTTGATTTTAGAATCTGGGCAGATAGAACATGTGATAGTTCTTTAGGTTGTCCACTATCACAGGAGAATGAATTTTTCCTTTCTCGAGCTCCACTCCTCCTCCTTACCTACTCGGAATGTCAACTTGCCTCTCCCAACATCGATGAGTGCATCGCCAGTGGTTTGAAAAGGTCTACCAAAAATGAGAGGCACTCCTCCATCTTCTTCCATCTCCAGAATCACAAAATCTGTTGGGAGAATGAACTTTCCAACCTTCACCAATACATTCTCCACCACTCCTTTTTGGAATTTTTACTGATCGATCAGCCAATTGGAGAGTGATCCGAGTAGGCTTAAAAACATCTCCCAATCCCAATTTCTTGTAGACTGAGTATGGCATCAAATTAATTCTTGCTCCAAGATCACAAAGTGATTTATTGAATTCTGTACCTCCAATGACACATGGAATGGTGA